TAGATAGGTAGATAGATAAAACTAAGCTCTAAAATAATAGCTTAATGCTAGCTGAGTATTCATATAATTTATAAGTTTATAAAAAACTAAAATAAGAAATTGATAGTTAAGTATTTAAGTATAGATTTTTTTTGCCAGAATGGTTGAACAAAATAGAGTTTTAAGAGATTGCAGAGACATGGCTAAATAATTAGCATAAAGTTACCTTAAAAAAAATAATGAAAAACTGTTCGAACTAAAGCTCAGGCCCCAACATTAAATATGAATCAATTGAATAGTAGAGCAGTACTGTACCATTATGTTTCCCAAGTTCCTCTCTGTTTTTTCCTCTTCTGCTCTAGACAACGCAAACAGAAAGGCCTTCAGAGAAAGCGTAAGACCAGGCTGGCATTATTTCGGCAGGAAAATGGTAATCATACCAAATATAATCCTTACTGTACACGTTTTTTTTTTTTTAAGCGTTAACCAGAGCTCAATTTTACTTCTGCAAATCATTCGAAAACGTTTGTTACACTTGAACACAAAAACATGTCTCTTCACTACAGGACGTGGCAGATTTTGAGTGGACCATGTGGTTCTCCTCATTCAGGAATCATATTCTTTTCACTTTTGCCGGTCATGTGATCTTTGCCAAGATATTCTCCGTAATAGCCCCGAAGGTGAGTGCATATGTGTGTGGTAGACGTAGAGAACCAAGAAATTAAATAATTGTAATTTGGCCCATAATTAAGGATGAAGCCCATGTTGTACGTGTACGTCTCTGAAAACCTGAGCAAAAATGGGTCGTTACGGACGTTGTTCAGAAGAATAGTGTACATTGAAGTATTTTCCAGACTCATTTTTTTCATCCTTTGGCTGGGTTTGCGAATTATACTCAGGTGCGACTTACAGTATATATTACAATATATAATTTCACATGTTTTGTTTTTCACACTGACAGCCGCTAGAGGGCACTCTAGGCTTGCGTACCAGTATCTGCTACTCCTGTACCACTGAAAATATACATGTTAGATTTACTTTTTGTGGGAAGTTACCATTGAGTTACCTTTCCTTTCGCACTGACAGCCACAAGAGGGCACTCTAAGGCTTTTGTACCAGTATCTGCTACTCCTGTACCACTGAAAATGGACATGTTCGTTATTTTCACACTGCCAGCCACTAGAGGGCACTCTAGGCTTGCGTACCATTATCTGCTATTCCTGTACCACTAAAAATGGACATGTTCGGTTTTTTCCCACTGCCAGCCACTAGAGGGCACTCTAGGCTTGCGTACCATTATCTGCTATTCCTGTACCACTGAAAAAGGAAATGTTCGTTATTTTCACACTGTAAGCCGCTAGAGGGCACTCTAGGCTTGCGTACCATTATCCGCTATTCCTGTACCACTCAAAAATTTACATTTAGTTAATTAATTTAGTTAATTTCACAATGACAGAGGGCTCTCTAGCCGGCAGGTGTGACTTTTATACCGGAGCGACTTATATATATGTTTTTTTCTTCTTCATTATGCATTTTTTGGCTGCATTTTTTGGCTCCTAAATCAATTTCACACCTGTGTTAAATTGATTTTGGAGCAATATAGGAAACATTCTACATGTGAATTGTTTTGGGTTTTTTCCCCCTTTTTGAGTGCTGCAATTCAAATTGAATTTTACTAATGTGTTATTGTGGTGTCACCCACAGCACAGATCCCTGATCTTTGGTCTGTATGGTGGTCTGGTAGTCCTCGTCACAATGGGCTGGAGCTTCGTGGCTCTGGTTCTGTCTCATTGTGTCATCATCTACAGTTTTGGTTTGATTAAAAGGAAATCCCTGTGTTTTGGAGCTGGTCTGGCCACATTAGCTTCCATTAAGCTAGAACCCTACAACTCCTGGCAGGTAAGTGATTCTTCCATATGTAAGGTCTGGACCTTAATGTATTCCTTTTGGCTAATGCTTAGCCAATTTCTGTGAACATTCGGCTTACTTGATTGTTTTTACTTACTTTTTTGTATACAATTTGTTTATATACCGTATACCGTTTTTCTCATATTTGGACTAACGTAATTATTTAAGTAAGATATTTATGTGTATACAAACCGTTTATTATCTATGTTTTTACTGTATTTTTCTTGAACTTTTTGGCCTCATTATGCTCTTCCGGGTCAACATTTTTCTAACTTTTACATAAGGGAGTGAAACACTTTACATGTCAGTTACAAGTTGCTAGCATACGTGTTGATATTCGGCATATTATGTTCTTTAATACTGTGCTATAGAGCCCGCGTCAATACAAATATATACTGTACATGACCATATTAAAAGCATCAAGTCATTGTCATACAATACAGTGGTCCCTCTCTATATCGCAGTTCTCTTACGGTACAGCACATTGCAGATTTTTTTTTTTTTCATTCGAATCTCGCAAGACTTTCGCTATATCGTGCGGTATTTTACAGTAAATCTGTCTGTCTGTCTGTTCATATAATTGTGTGTGAAAGGGTAATACAGTCTAGAGAGGGTTGACAACAGTGTGGGGGAAGTTCGTAAAGGGTTAATAGCAGAGGTGTGGACTCGAGTCTCATGACTTGGACTCGAGTCAGACTCGAGTCATGAATTTGATGACTTTAGACTCGACTTGACAAAATGTAAAGAGACTTGGAACTCGACTTGGACTTTAACATCAATGACTCGTGACTTCACTTGGACTCGGGCCCCTTTGACTCGACATTCTCACTGTGTACGTATGTGCTGTCGGCACAACATCCAATCAAATAAAAGGTTGGCCAATCAAATCGCGGGACAACCAATGAGAAAGAGCTGTCAAACAATGCGCGGGTTAAGAGAAAATGATACCAAAGATCGTGTTGTTCGGATTTAAAAACTACGATATGGTCAACAAAAAACGAGTGGCAGTGAGTGGAAGGGACTCGAGAGGACTCGAAAACAGAAACGGCAGGACTTGGGACTTGACTTGACACTTTTCAGTCTTGACTTGGATTCGACTCGGACTTTGCCTATTTTGACTTGAGACTTGATTCGGACTTGAGTGCAAAGACTTGAGACTTGCTTGTGACTTGCAAAGCAATGACTTCTGTTAATATATACGTAAATAATAACTATCTCGCCTCTTCTTCGTGGATTTTCCCTTTCTGCACGTGAGTGTCATGGGACACAACTGCCAAGATAGGAGAGGGGTCACTGTGTTAGCAAAGGCTACGTACACGATGGACTATATAACGATCCATTTAGTTGAGATTTATTTGTAATTTGGAACAAGAACGACTCCTTTTCCTTCTCTTTTTTTCCCCTCCCTTAGGAGTCCTTGGTAACTGGTTCTTTTGACCTGCAAGACATCCTGTTCTATGGAGGCTGCGGCTTCAGCATCATGCGCTGCATGAGCTTTGCACTAGAAAACTGCGAGAAGAAGGACGGAAATTTCACTTTCTGCGACCTGCTCAAATACAACTTCTACCTCCCCTACTTCTTCTTTGGACCCATCATGACTTTCGATAGGTTTCACACTCAGGTGAGGTCGCAATAAATGAGAGCAACCCTTAAGTGACGGTGAAAAAGGCAAATCAGCAATCATGACTAACGCAAGCGTTGTCGTTTTTAAAGGTAAACAACACTCGGCTGAACCGGAAAGACAGGGAGTTGTGGAACATCACCACCAAGGCTTTGTTGCACCTTGGGGTCATTTTGGTGGTGGACGTCTTCTTTCACTATCTCTACATCCTGTCAATCCCCAGCGACGTGACGCTGGTTGCCAAGCTGTCTGACTGGTGTCTTGGTGAGTTTTAACCTGCAGTGACTGTCAGTCAATCATCCATCCATCCATCATTCATTGTTCATCATCTTTTTTTTCTTCTTCTTCATCATTTTATCACTCTCCGTAACTCATATACAACGTGAATGTTCAAATAAGAACACAGGGTAGAGAAACGCTTGCGTTTATTTGAAGCAAAATGATTTTTAAATATAAGAAAAATGAAAAAGAAAAATGAAAATGAAGCCTCACTGAGCTGAAATTGAACATTTCAAAAATAAAAATAAAACATTTTTGAATTAAAGGGCTTGTGCTTAAAGTGCATCACTAAACTGAAATTGAACATTTTTCCTCTTTGGCAATGTTTTTTACAACAAAATTGGATTGTTTTCGACCGAGTTTTCTTAATAGGAAAAACCTTCAATTGTTCTACCTCTCTTCATTTCCCTGGGTTTCGTCACATTTATTTACTTTTTTTTTTTGTTCGTTTAAGCCGACGCTCAACACACAAGACAGAGCGGTGAACAGGAGCTGAGCCAATCAGAGACAAAGACCCGTCTGTGCTTTGTCTCTTATTGGTTTAGACCATGAAAAGAGCCCTGGAGCCCTGATACTGACTTACAAAACTGCAGAAAATGATAGCATTGTTGCTTACACCATACTTTAGAAATTGATGTATACCATATTTTCCGGACTATAACTCACACTTTTTTTTTATCCTTTGTTTGGGTTGTGACTTATACACAGGTGAGACTTATACATTAAAATAATTAAAAATGTTATTTTCACACTGACAGTCGCTAGAGGGCACTCTAGGTAGTACCTGTATCAGCTACTCCTGTACCACTGAAAATGTACATAATCTTTTTTTTTTTTTTACATTGACAGCCACTAGAGGGCACTTTAGGCTCGTGGACCAGTGCCTGCTACTCCTCCACCACTTCAAATTTACATATTACTTATCACATACACACACAGCCGCTAGAGGGCACTGGTATGACATACTCTGGAGATTATATATATTTCTTATACTCCGGAAAATACGGCAATTGACAATGCATTACCAAAGGTTATTGTTTTAATTTTTGTTGCAGTTTTTGAGGGTACATCAGCCTTTTTGTTACTTTGTTAAATTTGGACCGGGATGTCCAGAGATAGTAACGGCCTACTGTCAGTAGGTACTGTAGATGGCAAAATCTTTCCCGAGACATCGGGGCTAGTGGTAATAAAAGTCAGACTATTTAATACTTATTTTCCTCCCTGCTTCGACATGCAACAAATCAACCCCCTCTCCTCACACTTTTGCAGCTGGTCTGGCTTATTCCAACCTGGTGTACGACTGGGTAAAAGCAGCCGTGATGTTCGGTGTCATTAACACCGTGGCTACACTGGACCACCTGGACCCTCCCCAGCCCCCCAAGTGTATCACGATGCTCTACGTCTTTGCCGAGACGTACGTGCGACATCAACTTCCTTTTTGTGCAAACTAAAAGCAAAAATGATAATTCTTCTTACGGATAATATTTCCTTTTCAGGCATTTTGACAGAGGCATCAATGACTGGCTGTGCAAGTGAGTGCCAGAATTTTTTTCTCCCCGGTGCATTTAAAAAAACGATTTCTCTCATAAGGAATCATTCGTAAAAAATAATTAAATGTGAGCTGTAACCTCGCAGGTACGTTTATGACCACATTGGCGGAAATCATGACAATGTCTTCAAAGAACTCTTGGCCACTTTCTGCACCTTTGCTATTACCACCCTGTGGCTGGGCCCATGCGAGATAGTCTACATCTGGTCGTTCTTCAATTGCTTTGGCCTTAACTTTGAGTTGTGGGTGGCCAAGTTCTTTTCCATCCCGCCATTTTCTACAATTGAGGTTGGGACAACTGTGACTCTTGAGTGATTGCTAGAACTATTACCAGGACAACACCGAGCAGGCATTCATTTTCACATATTTGTTTGAATTTCTTCCAGGGCGCTATGGGCGAAGCTATGTCACGCAGGATCCGCGGTGTCTTTAACGCTGCGAACTTCTGGGCTATCGTCCTTTACAATATCCTGTCCCTGAACAGCTTAGAGTTCGCCAAGCTTGTTGGCAGAAGACTGATTTTCAAAGGTAAGAGTCATTTAAGTGCCTTTTTCCGTCCCACGATGGGGGAAATCCACCATTTTGAAAATTCACATTCACTTTGCAATTCACACAGGCTGCCACAG